CACGGAGCGTCCAGACTACTGCGCTATGCCCCCAAACAGCTGATTGGCACAGCGCGGTAGATTATTTAAATCGCCTCTTCATTTCCCTATGTCTAGAAACCTTATCTAGATGGCTCCGTCGATGGAGCCATGTAGTTTAGACGTACCCTCGGAGAGCTTCTCTTGGTTGTGTTTCACCAAACAAGCACAGCTTCCATGAGATGATGGTAGACATTCTGGCAGCATTTTGTCATCCACCAAAGGCACCTGGAGGAGGAAGAGGACTCAGACACTGAGCACTAGGGGCGGCGGGCAGGCATTACCTTCCCAAACTGCCAGACTGGTCCCACCCAGATGTAAAAGCAAGCTATTTTCTGGCCAGGCCTCATGCGCATAGCCTTCCTAGCCAAAATTACCTTCCCCTCAAATCAAAAATCTTGCACTATGTGACTTAAAATCAGTAAGAAGCAGGAGTAAAAAACCCAGGCAGGTAAGGGTCATACAAAGTTTGCGTCAGCCAAGAGCCATCTCACCCCCTACCCTTCCCCCTCAGTCCTATCACCAGGCAGACAGAATCTGTTAAGCCTATCACAACTAAGCGCAGGAAAGCTCTTGCTCTCTCTATAAAACAGCTACCCCTCCTGCATCCACTCGAGGGTTCCCGAAAATTTGGAAAGCAGAACACGAGCCAGGTTGAGGGCTGATCACCCGAGGGCCCCCTCCCGCTCACCGAATCAACTGAAACTTCCGCAGAGCATAACTGTATACTGAATATGCTGTTGTCTCTTTTGTCCCTTGTATGTCTGATAAGTGTGAGTATTGCTGTGTAAAGTTAGTTAGACGTTTGTTAATGTAAATATAACTGTTAAAAATCCCTGGGTTGTCACTGATAATTACTGGGACTTGGAAAAACCTCAGGGTATTTTCCTCTATTGCACTGCAGTTTGTTTACTGTTCCTGTTAATAGTTATTTGGCGCCCACGCCTGTAAAAAACTGTTAAATAGAAAGTTATAGTTAAAAGCATTTTAATAAAAGTTAAAAGATATTCAGTACAAGGTTGCCTGTTCCTGCACCTCCCCGGGGCTGGCCACATTCCCGAACCTTCCATTTTACAATCGACACCATACTCTCCCCCCAGTACACCTACAGTATCATGCTGGTGGCGGAGTGTTGCTACCCCCGAACACCTGCTCTCCCCTTGCTCTGGGGCTGGGGCCATGCACCGCCTGCTCTCCCTGTGCTCTGGGGCCGGGGAGGCTGAGGCTGCACGCTGCCCCACCTCCCATGGTGCTGGGGTGAGGGGGGAAACTGGGCTCCCATGGAGGCCACACCTGGCAAAAGGAGTGAGGCTGTGGGGGTTGCCTCCCTCAGCCCTACCTTCATCTACTGCCCATGCTGAGCACTTGAACTGGCTGTTCTACCAGGATAGCCACTGATGCCATCTGTGTAGCCTGGATCCTGGCACATCTGGATCCGAAAGCACATACTGGACCACAAGCACAGCCAGGGGGTCCACATCATCATGTGGACCTGGGATGACCAGCAGTGAGTCCCGAATGTTCACATGAAGAAAGCTCTGTTTCTGGAGCTTTGTGAGCAGTTTACCCCAACCCTCCAGCTTCAGGACACACATGTGAGGACGGCCAATACCTGTCCAGAAGTGGGTTGGAACCTGGCTATCCTGTTGCCATAGGACC